ACTCTGCTCAAGCCTTCAGTGTCAGATTCTCTTTACGCGCCATGGATTCGATGCAACACCATGGTTCTTGCGTGGATTCAACGATCTATATCCGAATCCATTGCAAAGTCCGTCTTGTGGATTGATAATGCAGCAGGCGTTTGGAAGAACTTGCAGATCAGGTTTTCACATGGCGACATTTTCCGCATTTCCGATATTCAAGAAGATCTCTACAAATTTCGTCAAGGTACTCTCGATGTTTCTAACTATTTCACTCAATTGAAGGTTATGTGGGATGAGTTAGAAAATTATCGTCCTATTCCGTACTGTTCTTGCGCTATTTCGTGTTCATGTGGTGCCGTTGCATCGATTAAGAAATACAGAGAACAAGATTACGTTATACGATTCCTAAAGGGATTGAATGAAAAATTCGCTCATTCAAAGTCACAAATCATGATGATGAATCCTCTCCCTGATATCAACCATGCGTTTTCTCTTGTTATTCAACAAGAAAGAGAGATGAACACTTCCATCTCTATGGAGATTACATATTCCAGCACCAATGAGGAAACAGCTGCTTTACAGGTGCAAACTCATGAGGGTCATGTTAATGCAAGGCAAAGTTTCAATCACTCCAGAAATAAGAATCAGGGATACAACAATTCACGGGGTCACGGCAGGGTCTGTACTCACTGCAACAGGACAAATCATACAATCGAAACTTGCTTTTTGAAGCATGGATTTCCACCAGGTTTTAAAGGCAAAGGCAAGGTTCAGGTAGCTGCATCAGTTAACAATACTTCAGAAGCCTCTCCTAAGGATTCAACTTCTTCTGTTTTTGGTTTTACTCAGGACCAGTACAACAGCATCTTGGCCTTACTCCAACAGTCGAAGCTCAATACCACAGTTAACTCAGTTTCCACTTCACCCTTTGTTATGAATTCTCATGCCTCAAATATCAATGGTAAGAATCCTTATCTATGGATTCTAGATACTGGTGCCACTGATCATTTTTCTTTTAATCTTGCATCCTTTGTTGAATATAAACATATAGTGCCTATTCCTGTTAGCTTACCGGATGGCTCACAAGTTGTAGCCTCCATTTCTGGTACAGTTGCCATTTCCCCTTCCTTAACTCTGCAAAATGTTCTCTGTATCCCTAGCTTTCATGTCAACCTCATCTCTATTGCCAAATTAGTTGATAGCAATAATTGTTTTGTACAATTTAATGCTAATACTTGTCATATCATGCAGAATCATTCCAAGGAAATGATTGGTATAGCTAACTTGGACAGAGGACTCTATGTTCTTGATTCCACAACTCACAAGTCTTCAAAATCTTCTGTTGCTTACACTTCCTGCAATTTATGGCATTTACGCCTAGGTCATATATCAAATATAGGATTACAATCTATAGCAAAAGTTTTTCCTTTCATTTCTTGTAATAAAGAGATTGTTCCTTGTGATTCTTGTCACTATGCTAAACAAAGAAAGCTGCCTTTTCCTGATAGTATTACCAATCTTGTGTTCCTTTTAATATTCTTCATGCTGACTTGTGGGGACCATATTCTACTATTTCCACCTTAGGACATAGATATTTCTTAACCCTTGTGGATGATTTCAGTAGGCACACTTGGGTTATCTTCCTTAAAACTAAGAATCAAACTAAAACTAGTCTTATCCAATTTATTGCTTACATAGAAAACCAATTCAATACCACACTCAAATGTCTGAGATCAGACAATGGAACTGAATTCAGTACCTTGTCAAATTATCTCTTATCAAAAGGCATAATTCACCAAAAGACTTGTGTTGAAACTCCCCAACAAAATGGGGTGGTTGAAAGGAAACACCAGCACATTCTTAATGTGGTTAGGTCCTTATTTTTCCATTCCAAGGTTCCCCTTAATATGTGGAACTTTTGCATACAACATGCTGTCCACATCATCAATAGGTTACCTACACCATTACTCAAATCTAAGAGTCCCTATGAACTTTTATTCAACCAACCCCCTTCCCTAGTTCATTTAAAAGTCTTTGGCTGCTTGTGTTTTGCTACTTCATTGCAAGCTCATAGAACAAAATTTGATTCTAGAGCAAGAAAGGCAATATTTGTAGGTTACAGAGAAGGAACCAAGGGATATATTCTGTATGATATCCACAACCATTCTTTTTTTGTCTCAAGAAATGTAGTGTTCTATGAAAATCACTTTCCCTTTAAACATCAAGTTGTTCTTCCTGAATCTGTCCCTTCCCAGCCTGTTCTCTCTAGCATCCCCCTTGTACAAAATCTTGGTGATCCTCCACCTGTTATACAGATAGACCAACCTAGCACTACTGATTTATCTTTATCTCCTGATGTGTCTACATCAACAAATGACACTGCTAGTTGTCCCTTTAATATTAACTTTCTCAATCCTGGCCCCACTCCTCCCAACTCACCTGACTTGACAGTGCATAGTTCACAGCATCCCACCACTACTGCTCCTTTCCATATTCCTGATATTATCTCTGCTTCTGAGCATGATAGACCCCATGAATCTATTTCTGTACCTAATACAGATTCTGAACCTATACCAAACCATACCACTCCTTTACCCGATGAACCAGTCCCTACACTTCAGCCATCTGCAGACAATAATAGTCTTCCCCAGACTTCTGCAGAAACTATAACTTTACCTTCAAGACAGTCATCTCGCGCCTCTCACCCCCCTCAATACTTAAAAGACTACCATTGTTACTCTTCTACTTCTCATTCTTCTCACCAAGTCAAATATCCACTATCTTCTGTCCTTACATATGATAATTGTTGTTCCTCATATAAACCTTTTTGCCTGTCTGTTTCTTCTAATTCTGAGCCAAAAACTTTCACACAAGCCATTAAAAATGACTGTTGGAAACAAGCTATGGATGCTGAGCTACTAGCTCTTGCAGAAAATCAAACATGGGATGTTGTTGACCTTCCACCAGGAAAGGTTCCCATTGGCTGCAGGTGGGTGTACAAGATTAAATACAAGTCAGATGGTTCTATTGAGAGATATAAAGCTAGGCTGGTAGCTAAGGGATACACTCAAATGGAGGGGATTGATTACTTTGATACCTTTTCTCCTGTGGCAAAAATAACAACAGTGAGGGTTCTATTATCCATTGCTGCTATAAAAGGCTGGCATCTAGCACAATTGGATATTAACAATGCTTTCCTTCATGGTGATTTACATGAAGAAGTTTACATGACAATGCCTCCTGGTCTCACCACATCCAATCCCTCTCAGGTTTGCAAACTTCAGAAATCTTTGTATGGTCTAAAGCAGGCAAGCAGGCAGTGGTATTCTAAACTCTCTACCTTTTTGATTTCCTTGGGCTACTCTCAATCTCAAGCTGATCATTCCTTATATGTCAAAACTAACAAAGACATGTTCACTGCCATCCTTGTCTATGTAGATGACTTGATTATAGCTGGTAATTCTATTCAGGAAATTCAGTTGGTTAAAAATATTCTTGATGAGAAGTTCAAGATTAAAGACCTTGGCCAACTCAGGTTCTTTTTGGGGTTTGAAATTGCCAGATCTACTAAAGGAATTTTTATGAATCAAAGGAAGTATGCTCTTGAATTGCTGGAAGACACAGGTGTGCTTGCAGCAAAACCCTCTTCCGTTCCTTTTGATCCAAATCTCAAGTTATCTTCCACTGATGGTGAACCATTAGTTGATCCTACTTCGTACAGAAGATTAATAGGCAGACTAATCTATCTGACAAACACAAGACCTGACATCTCCTTTGCTGTGCAGCACTTAAGTCAGTATATCTCTAATCCCCTTGCACCACATTATCAGGCTGCTACGAAGGTCCTCAGGTACCTCAAATCTTCTCCAGCCAAAGGTATCCTCTTTTCAGCTTCAAGTAACTTGAAACTTTATGCTTTTGCTGACTCTGATTGGGCACGATGTCCTACCACAAGAAAATCCATCACAGGTTTTTGTGTTGTTCTTGGTGCATCCCTCATTAGCTGGAAATCAAAGAAACAAAACACAGTTTCTCGATCTTCCACTGAAGCCGAATATCGCGCTTTAGCCTCTCTCACCTGTGAGCTGCAATGGTTACAATACCTCTTTAATGATTTTCAGATTAATTTTGATCAGCCAGCAGCTGTATACTGTGACAGCAAGTCAGCGATCTATCTTGCCCATAATCCTGCCTTTCACGAAAGAAGCAAACATATTGAGCTGGATTGTCACGTGGTTCGTGAGAAAATTGTTTCTAAACTCATTCATCTGCTTCCAGTTTCCACCAAGGCCCAACTAGCTGATGCCTTCACAAAACCTCTACATTCTCCATCTTTTTCATCTATTTTCACCAAGTTGGGACTTTCCAGTTTGCATAGTCCAACTTGAGGGGGCATATTGGAGTGTATAGAAGTATTCTTGTATATTTTCTACTTTTTCTTATTACATGTAAATAAGATAAGATTATATCTAGCTAGCTTAGGTGGCATTCTTTCATTGGATTTGTATATATAGCAGTAATCCTGCCCCTTTGTACAGTTAAGAAATAATAACAGAATTCCAACTTCTTCATCTTGATTGCTTTCTGTTTCATTCTTCAACAACCTTCTATGAGATCTTCCATCATCAACAGATTTGGAACAAAATGGTCCTATAACAGCAACAACTAATGGAATGATTTGAGAGGCGAAAATGACATCCAGATACGATTGTTCACTGAATAAAATTCTAATGAGATTATAAATGACTCACAAAATTGAATTTCTATATTTTCATGTAATAATATATTATCCACTTTGAATACAGTCATCAGCAAAAATGGTGACAAAAATAACCTTCACTATATATCATACTATCATATCCTCATGTGTAGAAAATCTTCCTCCGCCCAAATAGAAGCTAAATCTTATTCACATCACTAAAAGAACCGAATTAATTAATTAATACACAATAAGTATTGAGAATAAAATTGGCAAAATGAAACCAAATGAAGCGTTGCTGTTTAGCTTAAGCCAAGGTTCATTCATCATCTGCATCTGGACCAGGGGGAGAACCGGCAAGCCAACCCCACACGCCACCTGAACTCTGCCTCTGTCTTGCACTTATAGCAGCTTGCTCTGATGCAGCCTTTTGCCGCTGGAGGAGTTCAAGCTCCTTCTGTAATGTCCCAAAATTTTGGAGCTTCTGACCTAATTCAGCAACCTCGACCTGCACTCTCAAATATATATTTTAAAATTAAATAATAATAAATCCTACTTCAATCTTGCATTAAAGGAGACAAATGCCACAATTTCAAAGCAGCTTCAGACATACAGATTAGATCATAACAATGAAGGATTAATTTCAATACCTAACCGATCATATAGCAGAGCCACATCATTTATCTTGTTACATATTATGAAACAAAGCATACCAACACCCAGTTTTGCAAGGAATTATTTGAAAGCAAAATCATCAGGTGGATTAATTCATTTAATTGTTAGCTGTTGCTTCATGAATAATTAGTTAGTGATCAGATGCATGGCGCATCACATTTACCAAATAATTTTTCTTCAACCATTTACCTAACACCAGACTCTATTCAAAAACATACTCACAAGTCATAAAGATAAAGAGGGGAGACTTTCAGAGCATTAATGCATACCTCAAGTTTGAAACACCTTGACTGCTCAGCAGCAAGTTGACCACGTACTGATTGGAGCTCCTACATTGCAAGAACACAATTTTGATAGCAATAAGAGCAATGATGTAGATCAGATCTTATCGGAAGTAACATTAGAATAAAGTGGTTTATATAATCTGCTTAAGCCTAAGCCCAAATAATACAAAATAAAGTGGTTTACTAGATAGAGAGACACGGAGGTTTCCCTGTAACCCAAATCTCTAGAAGTACAACAAAATAAAGCAATGCAATCAATATAGACAAGATCCTGAGCTTCCACGTAGGATTCTACGATCCACGGCCATGATCCCGTACTGCAACACGGCCACTGGAGGTGCGCGGCATGGTCAACCCCGCAATTATGAAGTGGGATCGTACAATCGCATGTTGGGCTAACCATTTTGCAACGAGCTTTTGATGAAAGGGGTCGTTGTGAAAAGCTTGACTCACTCGCTCAAGATCCACAGCCATGATTCCGTGTTGCAATACGGCCAAGGTCAGTGGAGGTGCGCGGCGTGGTCAAACCCACGATTATGAAGTGGGGTCGTAGGATCGCACATTTGGGCTAACCATTTTGCAACAAGCATTGATGAAATTGGTCGGCAATTGTGAAAAGTTTGATTAACTCGCTCAACCACAGCCGTGATTCCGTGCTGTAATACGGCCAGGGTCCGTGGAGGTGCGCGGCATGGTCAAACCTGCGATTATGAAGTGGGATCATTGGATCATGCGTTTGGGATAACCATTTCGCAACGAGCTTGGCTGAAACGGGTCGGCTATTGTGAATAATTTGACTCGCTTAAGGTCCTGTCTCCACCACACAGCTCTAAGAGAGAAATTTGACTCCCTCACTCACGGTCCGTCTCCTCCCTGCAGCACCGTTTCTCCTTCCTCCTCTACGACCTGCGACTCTGTTCTCGTCTGTGCGCTACCTCCCGAGACACATTCTTCACCTTTCCCTGCCTTGCCCTGTTTTCTTTTGCGCGGCCTTTCCTCTGTTTCTGGTTTTTTAGAAGACTCTTTTTTTGTTTTCTTTCTGCCTTCCCCTATCTGACTCGCGTCGTGAACTTATGAACTTGTTATGAATTTTTAACTAACTTAGTCTAATGTTGTGATTTAGAGGTTATTTTATTCATGTATGATAGTTTTATCCCTGTCCTTCTGTAGGATCTTACGAGTCATGTTATGATCTTTCACCCCCTCCCGATCCTAGGTAGGATTGAGTTCATTGAATGCAATAGCTTTATTCCCTTAGGTTTTAATTATTTGTCGTCATTAATTATCAAAAACAATGTTCTTTTGCCTCTCTAGTGTACGATTCTTGGATCCATTCCAGACTAAATCCAAAATAAATAAATAAATGAATTTCAATCGTAAAAGTAGCTACCTTGTAAAGGTCAGAGTTACTAGATTCGGCATCAGCCAGCTCTTGCTTTAGTTGAAGAGTATGCAGCCTCTCCTTACCAAGGGAAGATTCTAATTCATCTCTCTCAGCCTTTAGTACTGATAGGAGATCACCTTTGGATTTCTGCATGATACCCAAAATATGAAAGCAGGTGACTGGCAGGAAAGAAAATGAAAGGGCACAAGTGTATAATTTGATCTATGTTTGTCATTTAAATGGTGCGGGCAGAATATGCAAAATTTGTGGTGCAAAATTAGAAATCAATAAATGCATGTATTATTTACAGATCTGTGTGCAGGACATCCAAAATTGCATGCATTAGTACATTTTGTGGTTTGGAGGTTTTTATGAACATACAACTGATTCTTATGTATCTCCAATTATTATTTTTCCACATTTATCACATTGACAATAGGATAAATGTCACTGACAAATAGAAAGACAGTTTTTCTCAATGTGCTTAGTATGCTTTCTTAATTTATGCATACATGGAAATCACACTGATAATAAACAACAACTTCAATTTATAAGGGAACAATTAACCCAGCACTACTCCCTAAGATACACATTGAACTTGTTCTACTTGCTATACATACATGGAAATCACACTGATAATAAACAACAACTTCAATTTATAAGGGAACAATTAACCTAGCACTACTCCCTAAGATACACATTGAACTTGTTCTACTTGCTATACAATGGATCTAAACAGCTTGGGAAGTGAAACCTTAAAGAGGTCTATGAAAGTGGAAGAGCAACAACCAACAATCAAGCCTTATCCCACCAAGTGAGATTGGCCGCATGGATTAAATTAGGCCACATAATGTTCTAATAAAGTGGAACATTAATGATTTTTTAGTTTAAAAACAACATCACGAGTTGGTAAATACTTGTGTAAATAGATATTCTCCATTATCAGCTTGGATACTATTTATCCAAAAACTGGATTGCTCAATTCTTTGATGAGAATGTGAGTTGTTCTTGTGAATGAGCACACTATACGAGGTACGAATGTGGTACACACGCCTGAGCAACGGTACTGTAAGGGCACAATGAATAGTATCATTGTACCGAATATGAACAAAGACGAGAAAAGGGCACGTGATACGTTCTGGCCAACAAACATAAAACAAGAACAGTGAAGGTGCCAAATGCTTCAATGAAGGCAGCTTAGGGTATCGCGAGGAAGCAAGACCTCCAAGACTGTGAGACAGTGTTATCATGTGTAGACAGAAATATTATGAAGTATTATTTAATTGTGTATTGAGTACAAACACTACACAGTACACACTAATCTGAACATATAAACTAAGCTCTAACTAACGGGTTTGATTAATGGGCCTAATACGGAAAAAAATGGTATTTATATATATAATATGTACTTACAATAATAATTACTTATTTACAACAACAAATTTCCAAAATGGGAGAAGTTATGTGTGCCTTAGAAAAGAAATTTAAAGGTTATTAAATTACTCGACAGATTTGGATAGTATAAAAGTAGTCAGATCGTTAGAGAAAAAAACATTTAATATAGTTTTGATTCACTGAAAGGCAATAAGCAGAAGAGGAAAGAACGAAACAAAAGAATATGTCAAGCTTTTAGATCTAGGCTTGTGAGCCAAAGGCAAGCAACCAAGAAAATAAAAATCTTGGTAAATCAGTTCTATGAACAGATAATTCTTTTCTAAAATAAAGCACCGCATAAAAATAATTCCTAACACAACCAAATGCTGGAAAAAACAGCTTCATAAAACCAGATATAAAAATGTATATGCTTTACAATAATACTTACTGTTGGATAAGCGTTGTCCACGGCAATTTCCCAAATTTTCCCTTCTTGTCCTGCTCCAGATTCAGGCTCTGAATCTCGGGTAGCATTTGGGACAGCAGAAACACTGTCTGGTATGGAATTTTCATTTATTTTGGATTGCAAGGTGGATTTGTGGCTTGGTTTAAGAACATATACCTGAAAGCAGAAATTAAATCTGACCACTGAGAATGATAAAGCAAAGGAAATAACAAAGCAGAGTGGGGAAAATGCTGAAATAATATTTACGTCATTGTTGTAACGTCCATTGTATCCTCCAAAAGATACAAGTACATCTTCGCCATCATACGAGCTTACAACCAAACTCAAGCCCTGCAATGAGAGGCATTTTTATTATTATCATCAATGGGCACTTGAAAGATACCTAATCAAATCAAGGAGTTAGCAGGGATCGGTGTTCTAATCTTGTTAAAATAAGTGGACGAGGTACCTCACTAGCAACAGGAACACGCCCTTGAACAGATGTTACTCCTGACCAAGCCAGTGTAGACATATTCAGTACAACCGTCTCCGAAGCCCCTGCAGAATAACATGGAGTATAACTTATAAAAAGGCATAAAAAGGCATATATATTAACTTAGATGAAAGTACCAGAAATCTCATAAAATCCAAAACAGTAAGTATATTCACAACCCAGGTAAACACACCTTTTTATTGATACATTTGTATATATATAGTGCAAGTAATTAACTACTAACTACCCCAGAAGCTAGTAACCTTCTCAGTGACTCCATTAAAACAATAATGCTTTTTCCGGTTTAGTTTCTTTCACAATGAAACAGTACACATAAAAAACCCACTTAAATAGGCCCTACAACTATTGTATCAATTTAGTATGATAGATGAAGGCAGCAAACAATTAATCGCCAATTTTGCAAGAAATAACTAAAACCTGAGATATACAAGAGAATTGAAGAGAGGCAATCATTAGCAAATATCCCATACAACAGGTTTTGTTTGATTTATTTACTCTACATATCTATATATTCTCTATACTGCGTTTTGGAAGAGACTCCCGGACTCCAAAAAGCATTCGGAGGAATTTGCAGTGGCATTTGAATGAGGCTGCAGTATAAAATGAGGCATATAATGCAGTAAATTTTTTTGTATACCACAACTTATTTTGGGTGTAATTGACATTTTGTCCTTGCTAAAATATATTTAATCAACTTTTGTTGTGTGAAACTCAACTCTACAAAACCGATTTGTAAGGTAAATGATGTCCACCACTACTTATAAGCACATTTTCAAGTCATATCACATCCAATGTGAGGCTCACAAAATGCCCCCCTTGAGCTCAAGGGGGGACATCTGTAGCGTGATCCAAGTGGAAAGATAAAGGGTGGTCCACCGGATCTTGGAAATGGTCTGATACCATCTTAAAGTTTGTGTTGGGTCAAACTCAATCCTACAAAACCGACTTGTATGGTAAATGATGTCCTCATAAGCACATTTTCAAGTCATATCACCAATGTGAGATTCCCGAAATACCCTGCTAAGATCAAGGGTGGACATCTAGAGTGTGATTCGAGTGGAAAGATAACGGGTGGTCCACCGGATCTTGGAAAGTATTTAATACCATTGTTGGCACCAAGGATCTTCTAGTTCCTAATTTGCTCTTTCATTTTTATTTATATTCAATTCTCCATTCGGGCAATAGAATCCTTCTATAGGTCCTGGTTCATTTTATATACAGGTGATAAAGTCCGGAAGTAAGTACAGCAATATTTTCATTCCGTCGCAAGGCAATTGCAGGGGGATACGCATTAAGCATACAGAACCAAAGACCCATTTAGCGAATTGATATGTTCAAATCTGTTGTGATAGAACTTACAGAAAATAGAATGAATGAAAGTGTGTAAATGAATGGGGAAATGAAGTTATTTGGATTAATGGAAGGAAAGGAAAACAATTACAGTGCATAACCAGAGCAGAGCTCCTCCAGAGAAAATTATCTCCTAATACAATGATAACAATTAACGTGGATGGCCCTAACAAACACTACCCTCCTCCATAAATCTCTCACTACTAACAATCTTCCTAGAAATCAGGGATTTCCTATGCCATTTCATTATTCCTCACTTTCTTACCCCTGCGAACATACACTCTCCAAACAGCAGGATTGGGCCTTTCATTAGTAACAGGCCCAACAGTAGTGGTTCTATCATATTGATAACTCAAATAGGTTTTGAAGAACATTATGTATCGAAGAATTTTATTTGATATAAGATGGTACTAGCTCAATAACTTTTATTGCAAAAGGTAATTTTCCTGAATACAAATACTTTAAGCAGTACAAGGGATGCCTACTATTAATTTGAATCTCGCTTTCTATTTAACCATTAATGGTAAAACACTTATGTTTTACCCATTTTAGAAGATTGAGCCACGAGTGAACAATCCAATGCTTTAGACACATGCATATAACTAAAAAAAAAAGACAATGGAACCGGTATGATTTACATATTTATTTGAAGGTAGAATGCACTATTTACTCTACAGCAGAGTTGAAATATGATTTAATGCATATTTGGATCCATGTTTAACAGACTTAATATCATAAACTTGATTTTCATCATTTTTTACATGTTTGGATATTCTCAGGCAAAAAATCCTTTGCCTACAAATCTCGGTTTGGCTCGAAGTAATAAGAAATAGCTTTTCTATTAGGTTAGAAAACTTGCACTAAATTTTATGTCTTGCTTTTAGTGTGAAAACTTTTGAACAAAAGTCACTTCTTTCTAAGTTAATTTTAACCAAATCCATTTTACAAGATCCAATTTATTGAAAATCATGTTTCACAAACACATACCCTAATACAGACTTAATGGTTTAGTTTAACCCACAGCACAGACATGCCACATGTACATCAAATAGTTTAGAAAATATTTGTCCAAGGTATCAAGGAATATTTTGTACAGTGTGGCATTTCATTTCTCAATGCAGAAAGTTTAAATCTTAATGACAGGGCAGCAAAAAAGCATACCGCTCTTGTTGTCACCACCACCAACAATGAACCAGTTCTCTCCTACTGTCACACCAGCATGTCCTGCACGTGGAGTTGGTATCTCACCTTGTTGTGTGGGGCGAGACCATTCCATCTGTGGAATTCATGCAAACAATTAGATGGAGATGACTTTCCGGTCCATTTCCTAACAGAGGAGGCAAGGGCCTTACAGTTTGCAAATCGAGAACATGTAAATCATTGTAGCAAGTTGCATGTGAACCCCCTCCGAAGATGAGTAAGTATCGCTCCACATGTACAGCAGCAGCATGATCAGATCTTGGGAAAGGAGGCACTCCACTGCCAGTTATGAAATAGTTAGAACAAAACCTTATCATGTTACCTTTACATACTTTCTCTCTCTTTAGAATGGCAAGACAAAACCAAATATTGCATAAACAGAGATGATCATCAAACAGAGTCGTATGAAGTTTTTACTCTTCATACAACCCAAAAACATTAAAGTCCACCCCTAGGTATTAAAGAAAATAAATCAACCCCTCCCACAAAGTCCTGATAAGTTAAAATAGAAACCATGAAGATAGAAAGGATTTTTTTAGAAAATTTCTTACACAGCATCAATTTCGTCCCATGTCATGGTTTCCAAGTCCAGAATATGCAGGTCATTCAAGAGAGCCCTTTTTGCATCTTGCCCACCAAAAATTACTAAAGTATTCCCAACAAGGGACACTGATTGACCTCCGCGTGATATCTAAAAAACATACATGATAGAAGAGGGAACTAAACAGGCTATTACTGTATTTTAATTAAAACATAAAGAGTGAACGAAAACAAGGGTCACATGTTAGCTTCAACGTGATATCTGGAAAGCATACATGATAGAAGAGGGGACTAAAGACTTATACTTAAATTTAAAAAACAGAGAGAGAAAGAATGAATGAAAGGAGAAGAGATTGGGCACCACTGTTGTATGTTTACAAACCAAGGTATGCATGCATCTCTTTTTAGAGAAATGCAAATATGACATGTCACATAGGCCTAAAACGATAATTAGAAATTTCTAAGAGACCTTAGGATCAATAAACATAACAGACACATACCGGAGCTTTCCCATAGGTCTTCAGAGTTGACCATGTTGCCCTTTGCAGATCAAACTCTTTTACTGTCATAATATTTAACAGCCCATACTTAGTTGCAATCACAATAGAAAAGACAACAAAAAAAAAAAAACTAGAAGTAGAACAAGAGTTATTAAAAAAAAAGGGCGAAATGCACTGTAATTCATGAACATAGATCAAATCAATGAACTGAAAAAGTGTTATTAGGTTTGGGTGTTTTATAAATGGGTTCAGAGAATAGGAATTCACAGAAGAAAATCTTATTGAACAAACTTCTTTGCGGAGCCGGAGAAGCGAGAATGCTTACAACTATGACTCTAAAAAGACACTCTTCTAATGAAATCATTTCCCAAATTCTCACATTTTAAGTTTTTTCTAAACAGCCAACATTAGTATTGTCAGCACTATGCTGGGAGTGGAGATCGAGCTCTCGACCTCCTTATCACTCCGCTTCTTAACTCTCCCACCCCAGCCACCAAGCCATCCTTATATCCACTTCTCACATTTTAAGTTATCGTGCACAGATATGACGCTAATCCCTAAAAGAATGAAAATGCATTATTACAACACACATATTATACCTTGGATACTTTCGGAGGGATCTTTTGTGTGGCCAGCAATTGACAGGAGCTTATTTCCCCATGCAATCTATAGTGACATAATTTTCATCGAAAATATTACAGAATTAGTACAAACTGTCAACAACAAACAGATTCAACACAGCAGTTATGCAGAGTTTTATGTTTAGTACAAACCAAAGAATGGCCAGCACAAGGGTCCAAAATTGTAGAGGGTTCATCTCCAGTCTTAGCCTCGATCTTTGACCAAGTCCATCTTCTCAAATCCAAAACCTGTATTTGTTTCCATTTAATTCGAAAAAAATCAACACATAATTTAGTCAATATAAAGGGAGATCACAAAAAGTTTATCTGTTCATAACAAAAGATATAGGTATACAATTACTTCCAAAAGTTGTGGTGTTAATTAAACCCCACAAGATAAACAATTACTTCAGCCAAAACCTATACCTTCATGCAACAAATATATTTAACATATGCTTACATGAATATCACTAAGGTAACGGCCATTGTGATTTCCACCGTATATGTACAATTTATCTTGCACGGCTGCGGCTCCATGCTGAACATATAAACACAGTTGGCTTAGGAGGGGACTAAAAGTACAAATATAAAAAAAAACGTTGCGGAATTAACTTTATAGTTATTATATAATGCAAGAGCCAAAACCTCATATCGGGCTTTTGGTCGTTGACCAGATACTGGAGGCGCAATCCATTGATCATAGACTCCAACTGAAGCAAAGCCTTCCACAACAACATCTTTATCCTGTGTTCCAACTTGACTTCCATTTTCAGAGGAAATAGTTTTTGTCTCTGGATAAGTATTCCCATTCTCAATGACCGGTTCAACTTTGGAATTATACTGCCAAACCAACAAGATAGAATCAGACATTGGAAAACGGATACAGGAAAAATTGCAATGTTGATGGTGACAACAAAAGTGGAGAATACAGAGGAAAATGTTCTTATTGAGATTCTCTTGATAAGTATTCATCTCGACATGCCTTTTAAATGAATCTAATTCTAAAGAACAAACCCTTAGCGCCATATCATGAAATCTGTAATTGATGTTACACCAAAACCATCCAACTACCTCAGTTGCATAAGAATTGCATGCATGTGAAGGTAGTAGGACATTACAAGCAATTATACAATACCCCAAATTTTATTAGCCAAAAAACCGACTTCCTAATTAGTTGACCATGAATTCAGACCATATTGTGCTCACTCAGTACTTACTCTATTGTTAGTTTGATATAATATGTGTGTATAACATGTACAAAGCTCAATGCAAGCCTAAAGATAAGTGCATATCAGCAAGAACAAGAATCGATATTATTATATATATAGCCCTAAGAATACTTACATTCATTTGAACGTCTATTACAGGCTCTGCAACAGAGTTAGATACTCTTGAATACCAACCGGGATCTTCTTCCTACACATCAAAAAAAAAAATTCAGATAATATATTGCATTTTACCAAGGAAGAAATGTCAATAAAAATTATTTGTATGACCTCCAATATTTTTACAAATAGACGCATGGCTTCTGTGGAAGACATGTTTCCAAGCTGGTTCCAACTGCATATAAAGTTACTACTTAAAACAATATTCTGAAGGAAATTGGGAGAAAATATGGACTAGTGCATATTGCAAGTATAATTTCAAATGTAACATCAATAAACATAAACAAACAGTGCAGTATTCATGAAAAATAGTTATATAACACAAGTGCATGGACAGGCATATCAAAACCAGAATTCCATATCAATATAGACATATATAATAGAGAGGTATAGTAATAGCACAAAACACAAAGAAAGCATGAATGTTACAAACCTGGCCCATTTGCTGTGCTCCACAATTTTCCATGAACTGGGTTCTGGAATGTTACAAGGTCCCACACTAGCCTGTAATAACAAATTAGTCATGAATTGAGCAATATGTTTTACAGCGAATTAATGATAACTTCACTGCTTCAATGCCACAGAACGATACCACAACAGACCCAAAAAATAAACAAATAAATAAACCACAAGCTGAAGCTAGAAGAACTGTAGCAATCCCCAGTAAATCAACATTACATTCCTTCATGTTTAAATTACATTGTAGACTTCTTCGCTTTTGAAAAAGTAGAGCAGCATGAGCCGCGTGCAAGTAAAGCTGTAACTCTATGCATTTCACGTGAATGAAGTCTTATCCAATGACAAGTGCTATAACAACCACCAAGCTTATGAACATGTTTGGATTATTATTTGAACTTATCGACTAACATAACACTTGTGAATGTTTTGAGAGCTTATAAAAAAATCCTATGACATGTTCAAAACTATTTTCAGCTTATTTCCATAAGCTCTCCAGGATAGCCTATCAAAACAGCTTATAGTTTATATGGAAACTTCTTGTTTCAGAAAATAGCTTATATATAAACACTTATATGCTAAGCTTTAAGTGCTTAATTAAGTTGTTTATCCAAACATGGTCATAATATCATATTAAATGATTTTACAGCCAATATTACTCTCCATAGTGTAATAGACTAACCAAAATGTTAGATCAACAGCAAATTATCCATAATCAGTTCCAAATGAGTAATTTTGAATACAAATCTATGATGTTAGGAAATTATAAATCCATCAAATCTTTATAACACAGATCATCATATAACAGCAACTAATTCGACTAACATTAATCAAATTCCTCACTCATAGTCATAAATCAAAATTCAAAACCACATAATAGCTTGTTTAACACACCACCACGAAGAAGCTAGGTAAATTACAAAATCAGCAACAAATCAACAATAAATCACCTAGTCTTCAACTTCAATCAATCAAATCAAACCAGATCCACGAAAATCTCACACAAAAACACGCAATTGATGCGAAAATGCGAAAAACATCACCGACAAAACTGAAAGAGATAGAAAAAAAAACGCAATGCAGGTAAAAGGAAAACGACGAAAGAGTGAAAACCTGTTGGTATAAGCTGTAGAGAAGAAGCGCGGTGGACTTGGGGAACTTGGAGGTGAGAGATTTTGTTGGAGAAGTGGATCCATCAAAACCGACGTAAGATGCCGCAGCGTAGAACCGTTCTGGATATTGCAAACCAGAACTTATTCTCGCCATCGCCATCGTCATTTCTGAATGTTGCTGATTATTTTCAGATCCAATTATTTACTTCGATTGAAACTCTTCAAACTTAGGATCTGATTATTATTTCAATGGAACTATATTATGTGTTTGGATGTACGAAATCAATTAAATTAATAATCGATTAATTTAACATGTGAATTGTGAAGTTTTCTGTTTTTCTACTAGTGCATTCTTTGTAGATCCATTTTATTGGTTATAATGTTAATTTAGCAAAATGTCCACCAGGTTTCGATAATTACACTGAGTCCATATTTATAATTTGTCTTTGGAAATTTTTCTTCCTCCCTTAATATATAGAGCGCACCTTTGAAAATCTAAAAATATTTTTGGATAAATTCGGATATATATCTCAGAACGCATTAAATATTAATTTTTTAAAAAATATGGTTCAGAGATGCATCTCCGAACTAACTCAAATGTAAATTCGGACTTACATCTCTGGATTGTTGCCTGAGTGATTTTTGACGGACTCTATATTCTAAGTTTGTGGTGTTTTTAATTGAAACTATTCGATTAAATGTGTCGTTATTTGTTTCAATGAATAATAAAAACGAATATATAGAACCGTGTAAAGCTTTAATAGAACTGAATATCATAAAAATTGAATATAAAAGTACAACAATTATTCACAAAGTCGATTAAAATTAAACAAAATGCAATCAAGTGCATACTCTACTATGTATGCCTAATCCTAACACTTTGATTCCTCTTCTGTCTACGATAAGCCACGACAATTAGTACCTCAGAAATAATGGATTGTGCTAGTGTGACCGCTTCATCTCCACCTCTAGCAAAGACTTTGGTCTCAATGCCCACACGTGCAAGTCACATAATGGTCTGATAGTGAGGCAACACATTAACGGCATGGTCTTCTATGGCCTGTTCATTCTCCATGATCTCCTCGTGAGCAGGTGATGCGCCTGTAAGTGCACGGAAATATCGAAATAATATAAAAGATTATCGAACCCACAAAGACCAATATCAACCTACTGTAATCTATCGTCGCTTTGTAAAGGTAAGGCTAATGAATAATTGATTTAGGGAAAACTAAGAACTAAAGCAAAGACTAAAATAATATTAAAGAAATATATAATAAAAGAGAGACCGGAATATGGATTCCGCGTATCTCGGGAACTTTGTAACTTGTTGGCTTTTAATCATACTAAAGATGTATTTCGTAGAAAATATTAATTTAAAGACAATACCTCACACTCTCGTGATTTTGAATAAAGTCACACTCTTTAACCGTGAGATTTTGCTCTCGCTCGCCCACTTGAATCAAGGAACGCGTTTTGAAAATTGAACAATTTCTAATTAATCCTAAAGCGATATCGCTATGTTTAGGATTAATGCCTAGTTTCTACTATTTGGTTCGACTCTCACGCTCTCGCAGTGTCGGCTCGAACCTTAGTTAATTTCTCACTCTCGTGGAAAAATCGTGTTAAATAACCTCTCACTCTCGTGACAAAGCTAATTAAATTAAATATAAAAACTGAAAACCGAAACTGAATTTTCAAAACAAATAATTAACCCAACTTGTCACCGAGTCCCATTGGAACCGACGGTCCTCACATATCAGACTCGAAACAATTTAGCAGGACATATTTAAAGAAACAAACATGCAATTATAATTATTAACCATGAACATATGTATATTTAGTTTTGTAATGATAAAACAATATTATAAGAACAAGAAACTAAAATAATTGCAAATAGATAAACTTGGAAGTAAAGCAGACGAGATAAACTTGAATAAAACTACGAACGAAATAAATCTTGAAACTTGAATAAAGCTTTGAAATAATGTTGGCAAGATTGTGATCCAAGAGTACATAGATTATAGGCCTAAAACTAATGGTGTGGTAGTTCCCTGATGTAAGAAACTACCACTTTTACAAAGTGATTTCAATCTAAAACTATGAACAGTGCTTTCGCGCACAAACTTGGATGCTCAAACAATGAATGTTAGGTCCTTTATATAGTGAGAAATGCTGGAAGTTATCATGTGAGAGGTAGTGGAGATTACAGTCTGAGAAGTTGAGAAAATCATGGGGTGAGTGGGTGAAGTGGAGAAAACAAGTATATGGCCTGCAATATTAGAGTTGTGGCGATGGGCATGCCTTGTGTTCCGTGGGGCACACAAGTCAATATTGTGGCGACCGTAACACGTGTGTGTCGAGGGGTATACATAATTGCAAGGCATGGCGATTGGCTGGAGGCTGTGACGACCGTCACAGTCCTCTGTCATGCAATTTCCTTTTGTTTTCTGCTACAGAGTCATTTTCAACTTATTTCTTTGTCATTTCTTCCTCTTTTCTCATGCAAGTCTTGTGGAATGTAAATACCTGAAATGAAATAGAAATATCGGCATAACAAGATAAAAATGAACGAAAATGAAACTAAAATGCATGCGAGTCAAGTCGAATATACGATATAATTTCGTGTTATCAAATTCCCTCATACTTAAAACATTGCTTATCCTCGAGCAATCAACCAACACGGTAAATAAATGATTAAGCGCAATTTGAAACAAGGGAACGACACAACTTCTAATCATATGCGGCTGTTAGGCTAATGTTATATCGATAGGTACTAAATTTTCAATACCAAGGACACTGTAACGACACAATATTCAAAGACTCCCTCTTTATGCAAACTAATTTGAATCATGCCATTATAACTCAACCTATATCTCTCATTTTTATTTCACTTTATTCATTCAAGTGCAATCACATTAAGCTTGTTATCCGTACACTCACATAGTAGGGAAATCGGTCAGCGACTATGATACTTTATGTAATACGATGGGAGAACTGACTTTACTAGTTTTGCGTTTTATCGCAAATGTTGCGATTAGTAAGAGTCGCCACCAACTTTTCTTTTATCCAACAAAGGAAAGGGTGAAAAGAACAAGAAAGACTTTTCGAGAATTTTCTGAGTAGGGGGTAGATTATGGAAAGGGGAGGTGTTAGCACCCTTTTCATCTGTAGTTATCTACGGGCTGTTAGTTGCTAGTTCATTTTGAAAATGCTTTTTTGTGTAAGCGTTTTTTGAAGATATTTTGAAAAGACGTCTTAGTGTGGAGGACTTTGTAATGTTTCTCGTTTCGGCAAGAACGTATACAAAGTGTTTTTGTCTTTGAAAATATTTAGAAAAGAGTTTGTGTATGTGTAAAAAATTGTTTTTGTTTGTTTTTATGAGAAAGCAACTAGGAGCTATCTATCTACTCGAAAGGTTTGTTATTTTCCTCTTTTCCTTTAGACAGTGTTATCCTACTATTAGTGAGTAGGTAGTCCTATTGTTGGATGTTTGAGAGACGGGTGAGGGTCATCGTACAATCACGAAAGCAACTCGTAAGATACTTTAGTAATTACCCTAAGGTTTTAAGATCATATACCGAGGCAACGTCGAAAGGGTCATCGAGGGACTTGTGATCTTTAAACCAAAGGGTCACCACTAAAATCTCTCACGTTCGAGAGTCGTGACTGTTTATTCCAAAGGTAACAAGTGGAGGTACCTTAGAGGTGCGCGTGTGCAAGTGTGTTGTGTTTCAGTTATATTTTTCTTGGATGTTAAGTTTGCTAACATTTACTTTTAGTCTTTTCATACAAGCCTATTAGCATTCATCTAGCAATTAATATAAGTATAGAAAATAAAAGTGCTAGAATTTAAGCTACACTATTACAAGGCTTCGAGGTAGGGGATTTACAAACCAAAAACGGGGAAAAGGAAAGTAAAGATCCTAGATTAAGCTATTACAATCCATAGACAATTACATAATATTTGAAAATAAAAATGCGAATAAGATAAATTACTACGCAGAAAAGAGAAAGCCCTAAAAATATCTAAATCACAAAAGAAAGAAATATTTTTGCTTATTTTTGTAAATATAATTGAATTATAAACCTGATTCTAATTGAATTTTAATTCACAAATAAAAACGATTGAATTAATTAATTTTATTGTAAAAATAAATTTTAATTAATTAAATCCTAAATCTAATATTTATTTAATTTTATGATTTTTTTAGTAAAATGGAAAAAGATTAATTAAAAAGAAAAGAATTTGAATGACATATTTAAAAAATAAATAAACAAAGAATGGGCTTGCAGCAAGCAAACTGGGGGGGGGGGAGGGGGAGAGATCTTAAAAATGTTAGGCCCAAAAAGGGGTTGAGCCCAAAGTTGTGCGTGATAACAGAAAATGTAGGGGTGTGGATCTGAAGCCCCTTAGGCCCATCAGCTTAAAGGCCCAAGCGCTTCAATAATCTGCACAAAAAAAAAAGAACAAATGTTGAAACAAAATTGCAAAAACCTGGGATGGAACCCAGGTCTTCCAGACTAACACACACGCTCTTCACCACCAGGCCACATGTTCATTCATTATTCAGAATAATAAGATAATATTATATATTAATATCAATCAGAAATTATTTAAAATAAAAACACGCGCTCTAGTGGGCCATGATTATTTTGAATGGACGAATCAAATGCAAGGATTTGGACACGTTGGCTCCGAGAGAGTCAAACCACCATCCATATTGGTTGACCCCCTTCTTCTCCGGCGACATCCATGGTCGTTCCTGTAAAAACGAATCAAACACAAAAACAAAACATCTTGATCGCATGAAAAACATCTCCTGATTCCAAAAATGTCATTCTTTTGGCCTGAAACACAACGTATGATGAGATCCTAAGAACTCAGTTCATGTTGCCCTAACAATGGCAACACGCATTCATGACGTCAAAACTCTCATCTAAAGGTTCAAACTTGTTCTAAACTCCATCATAAACACAAATGGAAACACATAAATGGTTAAATATGTATGGATCATGAAATACGAATTCAAGAAAACCTTACCAACCGATTAGTTTGGACGGACGAATTTTGGCGTGTTTCATGCTAAGGTGAGGGTTGGAGATGACTCATGGGAACCTCAAGAGTGCAAATATGGCACGAGTTTGGATGGAGGAAGGTTGTAACCT